ATCTTGAAAAGGTAGAGTGCAGTTGCAACGTCCCTCAGATCATGCATGCCCCTTGCTCTCATATGATTACGGCCTATAGGGTTCGCGGGTACAACTATGAGGATCTACCATAAATGTCACCCTTGTATCTCCGTTCGAACACCGTTAGTATTTGGGAGATGAGCTTCGAGCCATACTTAGACCCAACATAGTGGCCACCTTATAATGGTTATGACTACGTGCCGCATCCGGATCTAATGAAGGTAGGGAAGGGTAGAAGGAAGAAGAAGCGACTGAAGGGGGACATGGACGCTATGAGAGGGTACGGGGAAGACATGTACGACGGGGGAGACTTCAACGAGACCCGTGGCAGGAATCTTTGCTCCGTTTGCAAACAATCTGGCCACAAGGCTAGCTGGCATAGAAGACAGCAGGTAATTTTATATTGTTTTCGTATTGCATAACATGTAGTTTAAATTTTGCAATGCTACATAATATTAATCTGAAAATTGTTAATTTGAATACTCTAACCCTTTGTTTATCATTTTGTAACAGGATAGCCCCTCCCACGCCGCACCAGCTGATCCCCCTTCTTGATGTGGAGTACGACGACCCCCTTCTTCTACCGGACGGCGAGGTTTCATTACGTCGTGGGACTTAGTTCATTACGTCGAACTTATGTCGAACGAATATTCTCATCGAAAACTTGTAGACTCATAAACAATGAAAATGTTGTATTGCAACTTGTCGTCCATTTATTTGCGTCATGTTCGTTTGGTACCGCACTTGTAGTTTTATACAGCACCGACAACAACTCAATTGTTTTGAAGCCGTGGTCTAGCCGCGTCACTGCGTCACTGCTGCGCCGTGGGATCTGGCGCAGCACTGACGCACCATGTACTATGGCACGGCACGGGCGCGCCATGAACTATGGCGCGTCATAAACGCAGAACCATGCCTATGTAGCACCAGAACCTGGTCTATGGTGCGTCAAATAATTACGTTCGTTTTAGAAATTTTGAACGCATGATACAAAAAGATGTGATCACTTAAGATCGATCATGGGTAATCCGAGTACATGATACATGGGTACAATACATTAGTAGTTCAAAAGGAATATAAGAAAACACAATAGAATTTGTAGTACATAGCTACATTGATCATTAATAAAGCATGGAACTAACAGACGGTGCAATAAAAAACCCTCAGTCAGAAACATACTGAGTAAGCAACTCGTCGTCCGAGTACCAATCCATAACCACAACCCTGTTGTTGTTGCTAGGCTCACCCGCGTTGCTCTGACCTGCCTGTCGCCTGTAGTAAGCGGCCTCCGCTTCATCTACAGCTGCTGTGGCCTGAGTGAAGAACGCGTCGTCATCCTCCTCAGCCTGTAAGCCCACCTCTACTAGAGTGATGAGCTCGCTCAGTCTACCAGTGTCGTCCTCATCCTCCTTCGCTTGCATGCCCGCCTCTGCTAGGGCGATGAGCTCGCTCAGTCTGCCAGTGTCGTCGTCATCATCCTTCGCCTGCATGTCCGCCTCTGCTAGAGCAATGAGCTCACTCAGTCTGCCAGTGTCGTCCTCATCCTCATCCCCTTCATCAGACAACACAATCGGTGATTGAACGGTGTGATCAGCTCACGATCCATGCTCATCTAACTTCTTTTCCTCATACCTTGCACAAGCCACCTCTATGGCATGATCCTCGCTGCAACCAATCCCTTCATGTATAAAATGCAATCAGTTAGCAACGCGATTATATTACATTTAAAATCAGGCAACGAAAAAAGGCGTTCAAGCACTCACTGGCACATAATGCAGCAACATGCTCGTTCAAGACCTACATCTGTACTCTTGTCTCCTCCCTTGCCTCCTTCCTTGCCCTCTCCTCCTCTAACGTCATCCGCCTCTCCAATCTCCATTTATTAAGCCCAACATCGATCGGGTTACAAATACCACGCTGTCTAGCAAACTCACGTATCTTTTCTTTGTGATGTTTAACGAATAGGTTGACGTAGTCACGTCCATATCCCCTCTTCCGTGCAATTAGTTGCCTCTTCTTCAGTTCATCCAAGAACTAAGCTTGACCATCGTAACGTTCCCACCTACACTTCCTATTGCTCTGTTCAAAAGAAATATTATATCATATATGTCTTATCAAAAGAAATAAAATGTGATTTCATATTTACCACAAAAATAACGAACCTCTTCGTACTCAACCATATGGCCACAATAATGGCCTATTCCAAGCTCCGAAAGGACTAGGCCATAGTTTGAATTAACACCACATTCGCACTTGACTGGTGGTGCTTTGTAAATTAACCTTTCTTTCTTCTTTTGTTTTGCTTTTGGAGGTTCTTCGGGCCATTTGTTATTAGGACATACAACCACTCCTTGAAACGACACTTTGGCATTGAATGCACCTAAATAACGTGACATTAGTACATGAACACATATAGCTAAAGATTTCAACACATACATTTTGCACTTACTTCATGCTTGTTTGGACACACAAACTTCAATGTATTGTCAGGGTTTATCACAGCTCGATCTCCGCAATCGCACCGAGGAGGTTCCTCGAGTCGTTTAACTACGGCTAGGTGCTTCTTCTTAGCCGTCATTGGTGGAGGGTTAGGGGGGGAGGGGTGGAACCCACCGCTTAAAGCGCTCACGGGAATTTCTCCCTCTAAACCAATCATCAAAAAGGAGATACCTAGGATCAAACTTGTCTGCACCGTCGATCCACTGAAAGAAAAAACACCTCTCATGGTCCTACAAAACAAAAATTCAACAAAATATTAGTAATCTAGTAATACAAATGAAGAAGAAAAAGATAGTAGAAACAATTACTTACATTAAAACAACTGCACATGTAGAAGCAACGAGCCGCTGTGTTGGGATGTCTCGATTGAAACACGTCGGTCGGACGACCATAGTCACAATTAGGGACAGGGAGTTCAGGGGGGACGGGGACATCTTTGCTAGACTCGTCTGGGTACATTTCTCTAGGACGACCCTATTTTCGCCATAACTGCTCCCGAAACATGTCTTTCATCTAATAAAACGGTTCAAATTAAACATCAATCAAAACAACGCAAATTAATAAAAAATGTAATCATTTGCAATGAAACTAAAATATTATAAACAACAATTATACCAACAAAAAAAATACATGGCAAACATACTTCTAACTAAATAATTAACCAACAAACTCAAACTTATATCTCCACCATAGTTCTCAAACATATTTTTTCTGCTAACCTTAACTCCATTCATAATATCATATCCACCATTCAAACGAAAATAAAATGTGCGTAAGAACCTTAAACGAGAACGAGGAGGGATGGAGGCGGCCGGAGAATGGAAGGAAAGGGAGGGAGGCGGCAATGGAGGGCCGGCGGTTGGGGCCGCCGCCGTTCATGGCGCGGCGGCCGGCGTGGTTGGCGACGGGCGGTCGCGGTGGCGACGGACGGGCGCGGGAGCGACGCTACGCGGCCTTGCTACTCGGGCAGCGGGACTGACGGCGGTGGTTATATCCGGCTCTGCCGCGCCAACATAGGTGGCGCGGCAGAGCCTTTCCACGTCAACGGTCAGCGGTGATGGTCGCCGCCACGTCAGGCCTCTGCCGCGCCGCCATGCATGGCGCGGCACAAGCATTTGGCCACGCCAGGACAATAGGTGCGGCCAAAAGTGTTAGTTTAAAAAAAATCCGACAATGTTAGATTTAAAATTATATTCAAAAAAGGATTAAAATTAAAAAAAAATCTCCATATACTGATGAATAGCTGGTATATCAAATTGGTACAGAACCAATGCATACAATCATTTCGCGTTGAAACGACATACTTGAATTACAAGACTTATTTTCATTTTGTTAGGATAAGCCTTCGGCCAATAATTGCTCTATCTTACTATTATAGAGCTTTAATTGGAACATTTATATTAATCTTCATGGGACGTGTTAGAAAGATAGAGAAATCATAGAAATTTTGACAAAAACAAAACATTTGGCCAAAATGATATTGTAGACGCAATCATTCGATCATGGCCGTTAGATAATCTTCATATAAATTAACTATTTCTAGCATTATGAAAACTAATCTAAATTAACCATTTAATTTGTATCTAAATTACTCATCTTTGCCATTATGATAAAACCTATAGTAACACCCAAAATTTACATGAAACCACTCATCTTTGTCGTTACGAGAAACATCTAAATTAACAACGTCAAATAACTCAACAGTGCCCATATACATGCTTTTCATTTATCCCAATAAGTATATATGCGTCATATAGATCATGTTTCCGTGCCGGATAGCTTAAGATCTATGATCATGTAATTATAATAATGGTCTGACAACCATTAAAGATATTTTCCTTTAACGGTCATATGCACACCATCCATGCACTACGTCAAATATGATTTTCAGGGGCGGCTAATGAGCATTTGTAGGGGTGATTCGGCCAGCCGTCCCTACCATACCGTCTCTACAAATCATGCATATTTGTAGGGGCGACTGGTGTTATCAGCCACCCCTACAAATCGATTTGTAGGGGCGGCTACAGTACCAGCCGCCCCTACAAGTTACCAGCCGCCCTTAAAAAATCGATTTGTACGGACGGCTACAGTAACAGCCGTCCCTACAAATCGATTTGTAGGGGCGGCTACAATACCAACCGCCCCTAAAGTGCATTTTTCCGCAAAAAAAAAATCAAATTACCAACACGTGCTCCCCCAAATCATCCTGTGCATTGCAACAGAAGAAAAATAAATCAATTTAGCTGAGAAATAAGGTGATGACGACCATCAGTTGTTGTAGTCTTCAACCGGAATGCCAAACACAATTGATAAGGGGCTAAGTGCAACTCCATGTCTCCATCAACCTTAATTAGAGTTCAAATGATACAACTGCCAATGTTCCAAATAAGGAAACAACTGAGGATCTAATAACCACCATCAAACGCCGGTGATACAAGCTAATAATTGGAATCCCCAGACTTCTTACACTACTCAATTCATCATTCTGGGGAAACATCAGTGCCTTCTCCTGGGTGAGGTTCTTGAACAGGCTCTCGGCGGTGATCTGATAGAAACACAAAAGTACCAAATAAAATCAATAATATTTCATTTAGTTAGTGGCTGAGCAACAAGCCGAGCATCATCGACAAAGAAGTGAGAGAGGAAAGACTAACAGTAGACCCCTTGTATCTTATAATCAAAAGGAACATGGGGCATCTATAAAGAGATTGTATTGATGAAGCCAAATAATCAGCCTAATCTGATGATCTTTACGATGTCGCTGCAAAGCTCAAGCTAACCAGAAGTAGCGGCCCAATCAGGGACCAACACTCTACATTAGAACCATAAGAGAACAGACACGGAAGTAGCAGTTCTGATCCGGGCCAATATTACTCTACTTTAGAACCATAAGAAAACAGACGGAGCTAACATGGCTCTTCTGGAAATGCTAGGCATTGGTAAGGGAACACATGAAGAGAAAAAAATGTCTCAAGAAAGCATACTCAAAAGAATCTACTCACCAATGACCACATGAACTGGAATCTCTAAGAACTAAGCAGGTAAGCTACTTTACCACAGATTCTGAAAAGTTAGAAGCATGATACCTTTTGATACTGGATGGATGTGGTCTAGTGGCGAACTGATACCTTTGGCGAACTGAACCCAATTGGGCAAACCAGCTTCCATTGCTAGCTCTGCAGGCATCATAGCAGCCCCTGGAGTAGTATAATAATTAAAAAACGAAGCATACCATAAGATTTCCAATCCAAATTGGTCGAACTTAAAGCAATTTGAAGGACTTTGTATAGTATTTGCTACTTTGTAATGTATCATCTTCAACTCTTCATATTTCATTAATGTATCAATGCTATTACATTAATTAAATAAATGTCATACTGAGAGTAGTAACTCAGTTTCCATTGTTCAAAAGAATTGCAATGCAACCTATAATCTACATTTAACCCTTTCATGAGCCATCTATAGATACCTCCTAACCTATCTTGGATAAACTATCCATCTCGGATAACACTTGTACAAATATAGAATTCAGGTGCAACAGGTACACACCACATATTAAAATCAGTAATCATATGCATAGCCCTCACAGTTAAAAAAGAATATGTGCATATGAGTATGTTTTCCCTAATTAGATGTAAAGAAACATGCTACTTAGTTTACTAATCTGCAATGGTAGCTAAGCAAGTAGGCATACAGCCATGTATATTTTCAGATTTTAGTTCATATTATATCATGAGGATAACAAATTTTGTCAAGGAACTGGATAAAGATAAAAGGATCTGCCCAGTGACTAGTTGGCTTGGCAATAAGGGGTGTAGGGAATGCTTATGCTGCTCTTGCTATTTGTCTTAAATAAAGATCGGAACTAGTTGAATGTAAGATCATATGTTATTAAGTACTCCCTCCATTCTAAATTATTAGATGTTTTGGCTTTTCCAAATACTTGTTTTTACAATGAATCTAGACATAGTGTTTATGTAAGTGCATAGCAAAAGTTACGTATCTAGAAAAGCTAAAACGTCTTATAATTTGGAATGAAGAGAGTAATTGATAAATGTTGATGATAAAGTAAAAAATCACCTGGGTCCTTTTCGGATGGCTTAAGGACAAAAGTATTGCCACATGTAACTGCTATGGGAAACATCTTCAGCCATTGGAGAGAAGAAACATTCAGAGTGACCAAATCTATTCTCTTCAGTTGAACTGTTTCAATGGAAAATAGCAGAAGAAATAATGACAGTGTCTGGAGCTCATGAAAACAGCACAGATCATGTCCTATATATTTAAGTAAGAATGCAAGGGTATAACTGTCACATAGCTCAAATGATCAATGGTGCCAGCCTTCTATTACAAACAATTTGACAGGGAAGATCAGGTTAGGCATACCCATAGGGGAATCATAGCAGGAAAATTAAATGGGCATATCCCAGCACAAACACCAAGTGGCTCCCGAATGCTGAAGGTGTCAATCCCATTAGAAACATTTGATACATATTCGCCCATTTGCAGTGTTCCCATTCCACAAGCATGCTCCACCACCTCTATATGATTAAGAGTTCAAAATCAAAGTGGTATAATAAATGGTCAACATAAGAAAGAGTTCTATCAGAGAAAAGGTCAACAGTCAAGCATATGAAAAGGTCAACACTTCAAGCATATGAAGAGAGCATTTTGGACTACAATATATAAATCAGCAGTGAATTGGCTTTTCATGCAATCTAAATGTGAAAATCATGACACATGTGAGACTACACAAATAATGACAAACATCTATGAGTAAGAAAGATTTATGTGCCTGTTGTTGTTGCAAAACTAAGGTCTGGATTCAAGTGATGATTGAAATTTTCTTTTGGGCAATACAGAAACTTTAAGATGACTACTCATGCTGCCTAACCAAATAAGAATACCAAGTGTGTGCTTTGAATAATCTGGGAACTAACCTAGGCCACGGAACACGTCACCCCAAGCATCTTTCAGCGTCTTCCCCTGCTCTGTAGTGATGTTCTCTGCAAGCTTGTCCTATAATCAGGAGGCAACTGAAAGTCACGAAAACAAAAACCAGACAACATCAGGATGACACGATAAGGACGTTAACTGAACAAGGAATCACCATGTTAGGGTCTGTTTGGTTCCGCAACTCACGAACGCGCAACCGCGTTTAAGCCAACGCGCCTCCGAGGCCGCGTTTTGGGAAACGCCTGCCCGCGTTCGTTTTCAACCGGCCATCGCGCGTTGGTCGCAGTCCGTTTGGTGGGATTCTTTAGCTTATCTCGATCGTAACGCGCAGATACGCGGAACCAAACAAGCCCTTAGCCTGGTCAACGAGGGATGTGTGACCCGGGGAAGGCCGTCCTAGCGGCATTGACGGCGGCCCTGAACTCATCGGCCCTGAACACCACCTCCTGCGTCGCCTGCGACACCCCGCACACCCACCCCACAAATGCACGCGTCACATCCCCCGTTGCCGTTCAAAATCGATTCGAACAACCCGAAATCAAAAATCCGTTCGGAGGCGAGGAGGGCTTACAGGGTTGGTGACGTCGACGTGCTCGTCGGCGCCCGACTCGACGAACTCCCCGCCAATGAGGAGGCACACCTAAGGCCGGGAGGAGGGGAGGCGAGAGCGGACGCGCAGTCACTCCAGCCCGGCCGGGGCGAGGCGTGAGTGCAACCACGCATAATCGAGGTAACACGAGAACCGATTGGGGGACGGGGAGGAGAGGAGCCGCGGGCACCTACTGGGGTGGAGGCGGGGCCGTTGGAGAGCCACGTTGTGGCGGCGGCGGTGGAGAAGGGGGCGCACGGCTGCCATCGCCCGAGCCTGGGGCTGCGCGCGACGGGACGTCCGCTACCACTCCAGTCGAGGAAAGGAATGCCCCGTCCTTGTCGCGGTGGTGGCGGCAGCGGCGGTCCCCGTCCCCGCCGTCGCGCCGGTGGTGAGCGTTGGTGTCGTGGCGATTGCAGCGGCGGTGTCGGTCGTCGTCCCGGTCGCGGGATCGGTGGTGCCCGTCGTCGTCGCGAAAAGTCTTGCGAGAGAGCGGTCGCGATCCATGGGTGGGGATTGGCAAGGAGAGGGGTTAGGGTTTGAGTCGATTCACCAACGAGGGAGGGAGGGCTGAGAGGAGAAAGAGATGAAGGATTTGCGGTCAGCGTCGCGTGCGGGTTCCGAGTATTTATTTGTTGGAGCATTTGTAGGGGCGGCTGATTATTGAGCCGCCCCTATAAATAGTAACACCAAGGGCGGTTGGTGAGTGAACCGCCCCTACAAATTCGACTCATTCATAGGGGCGGCTCGTATCACCAGCCACCCCTGCTGTTCCATTTGTAGGGGCGGTTGGTCTCTGGGCTCCCGAGCAAACCACTGCCCCGACTCCATCACCAGCCGCCCCTAAAAAAACCTGTTCCGTTGCTACAAACCGTTTTTCACGTAGTGATGTTAATATATTAATTTTCTAAAACTATCAATGACAAGTCATATGTAAGCTATTACTTTAGATTTTTTATATGTACTGTTAACTTATAACATATCTATGTCTATATTTTAATACCAAGCACTCCAATTTTTCTGTAGAAAAATATATTGCTCTTTTAATGTTCCTTGATAGAGGAAATTCAAATACGGTGCAAACGAAACACTCACTGTGAAAGGGAAAAACATAGAGAATAACTATTTTTCTTTTCCTGAACTCAAGACACAAGAAAGCGATTGCATCCTCCTACTCCTAGCAAGTCACACGTCTTGAAAGTTGATACAACACCACTGAAATCAATTCCAACTTTTAGGAAGTACGATGTCACCATTTTCAACAGGTACGAAAGAGTATGCTTAAGCTTCCCCTGCAAGGCAACTGAGCTATCAAGCACTACTTGGTTAAGATTAATCACAGGCACGTTCGTGCTTATTAATAATCAGCTCGTTCATTTAATTTCACGCTAAAACGAGCTAGATAGACATACTTTTGTCTTCTGATTAATAAGCATGAACGTGCACATTTAATTAATCTGTATAGCACACTACTGCACATTTAATCTGCATATATAGCACTATCAGCACCAACACATACGTTTCACGCTAAAACGAGCTAGCTAGACATACTTGTGTTTTCCGAACAACTTGCTCTGCATGCGGCCTCTCAATAGATTCCATCACGCCTCATCCGTTCAATTCAATTATGACCGTGCAAAGATATATACTTGCATATACATATCTGTGTCAAATGTTACAGCTCAACCACACCATACTACCGACTACTATACCGTGACTTCACCATGCAACGAGAGTTAATATTTCACAATCAAGCTCATCGATAGAGAGGCTAATGCGCTGTGTTTGGTTCGTGGAGTCCCCATGCTTCCTGAAGTGATGCATCATGAGTTCTTCACATGAATTTTGGTGAAATCGATCTATTCCTCTTGCATATACTAATTATTAGCTTATGAGGAATGAAGTGACGATGGATCAATTCATTCTATTCAACAAACCAAATAAAAAAAAGTGATGAGTAAGAAGAAGATGAATCACCTCGCATTCCTCAAACCAAACACACACTAAGTTGACAACTTAGACATGTTAAGTTGTGGCTCCTTGGATGGAGCTACTTGTGAAGGGGTACACTGTCATTTTCTAAATGAGGTGTGGCGTCCGCTCCCGGAGTCCCAGTCGATCTATCTACCTAATATCATCCATCGAAACCAAACTATAAACCCTAGTCCCTAGCTAGCGATGCAGGCAGGGCGGGTTGTGGCCAACCGCAAACCCACAAAGCTCGTCGCAAGCAAATACCTGCGGGTTTGTGGCTGTCCGCAAACTAAATTATGTGGGTAGCAAAAGTTTCGCGGGCTTTGCGGCAGCAAACATTAGTCCTGCAAAGACCCGCAAGGTGCATAACCACGTCCATAATAGCGCTTTGGTTGCCGGCCACCGTCGGCCTCATCTCCGTGGAAGTTGCAACCAATCGCCGGATGAGGAAGCCGCATCACGGACCAGGTGTCTGCATCCCGCAGAAGCAAGCAGGCGCTAGGATGGCAGGATCTGTCATGCTGTCCCCATCCTCTCCTGCCTACTACTCTTCCTCCACTGCGGCCATGTCTCCGGTGCCTGCCATGGCTGCATGGCCCGCAATTTCATCTGCGGGATATAGCGCAGGCGCAAGGAGAAGCGGAGGAGGGCGACACCGATTGGCCCTGCTCGCTTGAACTTATCAGCCAGCTTATCAGCTAGAATCTACAGCGTTTTTCTCTCACAACAAAACAGCTTCAGCCGGCTTATCAGCCGACTTTAATACCAGCCAAACAGGCCAAACACCGGCGGCGGTTGCGGTAGGGATAAACAAGGAGAGGCCTTTCTTGCGGGTTTTGGGGTTCTTTGTTGGCTGCAACAATGTCCAGTGGGTTTTGCAGTTGAACAACGTTTAGGCCACAAACAACTTGCAGCTGGGGCACGTTGGCCACAAACCATGATTTTGCGGGGCGGGCTGGTGGGTAGCGCTAATGACCCGCCCCGCCTGCATCGCGATTTGCAAAAATGGGACTCGAAACATCGGTCGTTTGCAGATTTGACACTGGATCCACATTCATAGACACAGATAGACCAACTTGTCATTCACCCGAGTGTCATCATAATCAAGGAGTCAATCTTTCGAGTGTCATTTTTGCAATTTTTTCGCTATAGGTCCCCGTTGCCGATCCCAGTTATGAGCACACAAGACACATGCATGAATCATTCTGATCTGACTTGATCATAAGTTGGTCTGGATTCAGCGACGTACGACTGATCAGGCTCAATCAAAGCGTACAACAGCGATCATGGGGCCTAGCTTGCAGTAGTTCGCCTCACCTGAAAGCTAGGCTCGTGTCTGAAACCTATAGCTAGCTTAAGGGCCAATCGAATTAGATCCCGGGTCGTCATAACCAACCAGTTCCTGCCACGCCACCGCACCCCAACGACAGCCTACCAAACTCCAATCCCAAGTTCCCAACATGTCGTATTTCAAGCTTCATACTCCAATCACAATAAGTACCTGACACGCTGACATGACGATTCACGATCGATGCACACAGCACACACGCTGTCCCAAAGGTTGCACTTCTTACTTTAGGGCTTAGGAAGTCAGTTTTTTTAGTTTGACAAAATTCATAGTAAGTAGTATAAATATTAGTAGGTTTACTTAAAAATGTATTACGGAGTACATGATTAATTTAATGATACTTATCCGATATCATAAATGTTAGTTGCAGTGTGTTGATACAACGACTAGCTAATCTGGTGCCCGGCAGGCAATTTAATGTTAGATGCTCGCAGAGCAAATTTAAGGGAGATACGTTTGCCTTGTAGGTACCTAGATTTTTATCTTAGGGGTTCATATACGGTGAAAATTTAATCATAAATTACTATTTTTTTTAGAAATACCAAAAATGACAGTCGAGTGTTGCTTTCTCTCTCAACACTCGATTCCTCTCCCTCTCATTCTTCTCCATCTCCGGTCTCTCTCTCCCTCTTCTTCCCCAACTCCGGTGGGCCTAAAAGAGGCTCGGAGGAGGCAGGTCGGTCAGGCGGTGGGGACATCGGGAGGGCGACGGTTAAGGTTCCGGCGTCGTAGGAGGCGGTCAGGCCAGCTCGGGGCACGGCGCCCATGGCCATGACGGCGGGGGAGAGGAGGCCGCCGCGGCGGAGCTCCGGTGAGACTCTACCGTGCCACGCGAGGCGGTGGGTGGCGATGACGCGTCGGGCTTGAGGAGGAAGAAGCTGTGAAGAAAAAATCGAGAGTTTTCGGCCTCCAAAACACTGAATGCCCTGTAGATAGACTTCTTTTTGTTTGTTTTTTAGTGTGGCCACGCCCGCTGGCATGTACATAGATCCGCCCCTGGTGCGTGATGTGTTTAGTTGTTTGTCCCACTACTAGTTGTTGAGTTTTACTTGTCGGTGGTGTTTCTTTTCTTTTCTTTTCTGTTCTGTAGCCTCGCGGGACTGTGAAATTTCTGCTATATCAATATAAACATGTGGTGTCAATGCCGGTTCGTTCAGAAAAGGAAAAGCATCAAAAGTTTGCCTAGCCAAATAAACGAAGCACACCCACTAATTAAGTCCAAACTGGGCCCTGTTTAATTCCCTCCCAAAATGCTAATTTTTTTAAGATTCCCTGTCACATCGAATCTTTAGACGCATGCATAAATCATTAAATATAAATAAAAAATAAAACTAATTACACAGTTTAGACGAAATCCACAAGACGAATCTTTTAAGCCTAATTAGACTATGATTGGACACTAATTGCCAAATAACAACGAAAACGCTACAGTGTCGTTTTGCCAAAAATTTCGGCAACCAAACTGGCTCTGGCTATAGCAGCGCAGCGATCATCTGACCGTACATGCATGCATATTCACTGACGCGGAGCACGCAGCTCGCCTGGCCTTTTGTATCGTGGAAGTGGCCAGGAATCAGGATGATGATCGGTCGGAGAGACTGCTCCGCCGGCTAGCGCTGCGTGCTCGCATCTGCCTTGCAACACACTCCACGGCGACCTCACATCTGAATCCATCCGCTCCCAGTCCACTCCCATCCAGCGCGCCCAGCAGCAGCACCCTCCCTTCCTCGACCGCCTGCGCTAGTTGATTGTATAATAAGATGTTGCCTGAAAATTTCTAAAAAAAATAAGGCGTCTCAAATACAACAACTCCTGTATTTGCCACATGCATAGAAGTATGTTCAAGCCAAGAATAAGACATTTTTATAAACTCCCACCATTCTAGAGAGAATACAACTCTAGCCTTAGTGCTAAGTCACAAACCATCTTCAGGTTAACTAAATCA